TCTCCTCTATTTGCATGGAGGATAAGGCTCTCGATATTTAGTAGCCGAATGTTACATTTGTGTAACACAGAACTATATTGGGATAAAATAGAATTTGTTTCCTCTGAGACACAGGTAAAGGTACGTCCACACTGACCTGGGTGGCAGCCACCTCTTCCTGCAGTGCCAGGCAGGGCATGCTCACAGATCTGGGGAACCTCTGCTGCTCCTGGAGCCCCACAACCTCCTTCCTGGCACCCTCTCCCTCTGGTGGTTGTGACAGCTCATACCTGGCCTTGGGCATCCCCTGCTTCTTTGCCTGACCCTCTTCTGCCCACACTGCATATCTCTGTCTCCCACTGTCCCCACTATGACCGCGATTGCCTCTCCCTCCCTGCACTCTCCCTCTCTAAGGGCTTGTTCAATTCTCCCTCCTTCCATCACACACACCTGTCCTCCTTAATGTTTCCGACGTCGGTGAGCTCCAAACTCAGCCCCTCCTGCACCTGCCAGCTGTAGGACCTGTGACAAGACGCCTACCATCTGTCTGGGACTCCGTCTCTCATCTATCATATAGGCATAATGATGATAGTGTCCTCCTTCCAAGGCTGGGGAGAACCAGGAGGCCAAGGTGATGGGCTATGGACTGCCAAAACAGCTCCAATCCTGCCTCCACCTGGGGCTGGTGTTTCAAGTCCGTTGTGTGTGAATGCAGCCTTAATGTCTCCAATCACACACAACGATTTGTTCTAAAATAGACTCCCCTCTGCCCTTCCCTTCCCCACAACTGTTTCCCCTCTGCACTGTGCCATGGTACCTCTGAGAAAGAACTGTCCCATTCCCCAATCATCGTCCCCACCCCAGCCCCCAGGCCCTTGGTTGGTGAGACCCTTGATGGGCAGTCTCATGCTTCTGTCCAGGGGACTTTCCCACCGTTGCTCCCCTGCATGGAGACTAAGTCGACTCTTCTATTCCCTTCCATCACAGGGTCTACAGTGCACGCATCTTCTTCATTCCTCCACATTTCCCAGAGGACGATTTCATCTGTGTCTCCTCCCACATACTCCCAAATGGACCGTCCCAGACCTTGAACTTGAAATTCGTTCAGAGAGCGAAGGCCAAGATGCCCAACCACCTGCTGCACAATCCTGCTCCAGGACTGAAGTGTATGGTCTCTATCAAAATAAAAACTGGAGGCCAGGCGTGGCGGCTCAAGCCTGTAATCCTAGTACTTTAGGAGACGAAGGTGGGAGGATCACTTGAGCCCAGGAGTTCAAGGCTGCATTGAGCTATGATCATGCCACTGCACTCCAGCCTGGACAGAGCAAGACCCCGTCTCTAGAAACCAACCAACCAACCAACCAACCAACCAACCAACCAACCAACTGGAAACATCCTCCTCTAGAATGGTGGTCAGGAACATCTGCCTGCCTTGTTCCCTGATGTCTCTCCAGCACCTAGAACAGCGCTCAGCACGAGGATGCACTCATTGGTGTTTTGTTGAATAAATGACTCCTTTGATACAGCAATTCCACTTCTAAGAATCTCTCCTAAAGAAATATTCACACATGTGCACAGGCCTGTGTGCACAATAATGAGAGGAGCAAACAATTGGGGAACGTTTGCAAAGGTTTATTAACTGTCAGTAACTGATACACGGGAACTGGATGAGGGGAGTACATGCTGAACAGGAAACGGAGTGAGGGGGGCTTGACCAGGACGCATGGCACTGGGGAAAAGCAGATGGGAGATGCTTATAGTGGTACTTGGTGTGACTGTGTGTGTGTGTGTGTGCACGCACGCGCGCGCACGCAGGTGTGTGTGGTGTGTGTGTAAATGCAGAGGAAACTGAAATTAAGCACTCAGAACTGCCCTCAGTAGTCACATCTGGGGAGAGAGGAGGGTAGTGCTGTTCTATGCAGAGAATATCTGACTATACTTGTTTTTTAAGTAGATGCATGGATATACAAACGGAAATACGCGTTAAGCATGTCTTGCTCATCAATGAAAAGGATAATATCTAACAGAATGGCACACTGTAAGACAATACAACGGAAACGCTAACATCGAACTCTTGGCACACTAAGAAAAATGACGCTCAACTTTGCACTGTTGTGAACACTCGCTTTCGCTTGCTATGCACCTGATGACGAGGGGTCCGCAACCATGCCCATGTTCGTGAAAGGTCACCACGTTCTGCTTCTCATCATGGGCATGTGTCACATCCCTGAGGCTGAGGCAAGAAGAGAGAAGGAAAGTAAGTGGCAGTGAGTTCCCACCGTGTGACAACTCAGTCTCAAGTCCTCCTGACCTTTAGACCCTTCACACTCTGATTCTGCCCTACCTCGGGACCTGCACACACCTTCCACGGTTCCTCGAAGAGAACCATCCGCTCATGCCACAGTGACTTCCTCACCTGGTTTATTCATTCCTAGGCTAGAGGAAGGTGTGGCCCACATCTCAGGGCTGACCTGGGGTTTGGGAGCCCACAGCATCCTGGGTAGGGAGGAACCCTGGATATACAGGGCAGGGAGTAGAAAGCTCCCTGCATGGAAGCATGGGAAATCTCATCATTCAGCCTCAATGCTGTACCCTAGAAAATTATGAGAAGGGAATGATTTGGGGAACAAGTGACAAGATGGGATACCGGTACCGTAACAGAATAGCACATCTGCAGGGATGTGGGGGATGAGCCGAAGGTTCACTTACGGAGTTACTCGTCG